CCATTTATGATATACTGAATTTTTCAAGTATGACAACTTACTTAAAACCTCGTTTTCTATAGAGCCTACCATGTAAATGATACATGGGCATTCTACTGTCTGTCCTGTTGGAGCTACTTGGACACCCCAACTCCTTCAGGTTTAACAGTCAATGTTTTATTGGAAAGAACTCTGGTTGGGAAGTCAGGAGACCCAGGTTGAGTATGGATAACATTAATAGTTATCTGCAAAAATGTGGGTGTCTCCTTTTTCTCATGAGCTGAGTGGAAGGGCACAGGTAAAGTCAGATTTAATTATGAAACTCTATAGTTTATGTGATACTGGACCCTGTGATCTGTTAACCTCCAATCATAGCTACAGTTTTCAGGAGTATATCTTAGAGAAAGCAGGGACTCATTGTGCTGTGTTTATTTATGTAATGTAAATTATATATATATTCATCTGTGAAATATAGTTCTTCATGTCAGATATAAATTTTCCTGTTCAACTTTTGCAAAAAGTTTGATTTTTTTCCACATTATATTTGAGATTTTGCTATTTGAAATGTGTCTCTAAAACACAGAAGAGAGGTCAGAAATATAGATAGATTTAGAATCATCACACAGGTAGAAATAAATGAGATTACTTGGGGGGAGGAATAGAAAAAGCGAGCAAACGGATGAGGATAGAATCCACATTTGAGGGATGAAAGGCGAGAGGGAACTTTACAAGCAAATAGAAAAGAAACAAAGAAGAGAGTGTGCTACTGGTACTGAGAAATAAAGTTTAAAATTACTTCCCTGAGAACCTTATAGAAATGACCTACTATGTGGTTTTTAGGATTCACTGCTAAATGAAGTTAAATTAGTCACAAAGATAAAAACAAACAAACAAAAAACACCAATTTACACTAATGGGGCATGCAAGTCAGGATAAAAATGAAATTTTAGCCAAGTTCCACTTTTTATCTTCAAAAAGGTGGTTTAATTAAGCTAAGTGTTTAAAGGAAGAAGTTTACTAGATTTGTTACCTTTAAACAGTTAGTGTAATAACATGGTGAATGGAAAACACTGAACTCAGAAACACTCTAATCCATACCATCTATTATTTTAATTGTACGACCATTCAGTCATCTAATAGGGTAGAGAGATTTGTAAACAGATAAATTACCAGAAGGTTGGTAATTGCTATACTGAAAGTGATCAGAAGTGCTTAGGCAAATAATTTGACCATTCGGGGACTCATTTTCTTTGCTGTAAAAAGTGATAAATTGTTTTAAACCTCAGACTTAATGTAGCCAACCCTGTACACAGCCCTAAATTTTATTCACATTATTGATAAATTATTCATTATTTGACTCTAAGATATTTTTCTTTAAAATTTTCATTACATAGTATATATTATTTATAAAAATGTCCCCATACTACTATGGTGATGGTTCATGGGTGATGAGGTGGTGGGAAATTTGTTGTACCATATACTGAGGCTGTCATGTCCTGTTAGCTATAGTAGAACAAAACTTAACCACCTGTTCTGGGTCAATGAGTAGTGTCAATTTTCATCCACTGAGTGCTCTGCAACCTATAGAAAGTGTATTTTGAAATATGTATTAGTTTCGTAAACTGGTTTTTCTGCTATTTTTTACATTAATACTTTATTTAATATTCATATTAATGTTCATAGTAGCACAAAATGCACATTAACAAAAGTAGATGCAATGGTTATATAATGGAATATTATATGACAGTGAAAATCAACTGGATTTTGTGTTTATCATTCTCAGTTTATTGGATTTTTGTTTTGGTTTGTACTTTTTTCTTAAATGTTTAAATTTTTTCAAATCAAAGCATATTAACTTATGTAGGGTACATGTTATATTTAGATTTAATGGCTATGATATAATTAAAGGATAATCACTGTATTGCAGAATTATTCCCAGTTTCTTATGTAGTATGAATGTGTTTAAGTAGGCAACTTTGATTTGTTTGCATAATTATATAATGCTGGGAGTAGAACTTCATACCTCCATATATATTCATTCTTCACTTACTGTACATAAAGCACCTCTGTCCTAGCACCTACCTTTCCATATTCCCTCCTCCCTCTGTAAAGTCCCCTCTGTGCCTTGATTTTCTTTCTTTCATTATTTATATTCTGAAAATGAATGGTGAAGAATCCAGCAATAGCCTTTTTTCTGACTCGTTTCCCTTGGTATAATCACTTCATGATCCAGCTCTCTACTTTTCCCCAGAGGCACTATTTGATCATTTTTTTAATAGCTGGATTGTATCTCACTGAGTATATAGTCCACAGTTCTGTATTCATTTGTCAGTTGGTGTGTATTTAAGCTGGTTTCATGATTTGGCTATTGTGAATAACGCTGCTGTAAACAAAGTAGTGCATGGATATTTTCTATTAGTATTTTCATATTCTTTGAAGAATCTATGCCATTTTCCATGGAGGCTACACCAAATCACATTCCCACCAGTGTTGGATGAGTGTTCCTTTTTCTCCATATCCTTATTAACATTTACTGTTTTATCTTTTTGACATAGGCTGTTCTCACTGGGGTGAGGTGATAAGTCTTTGTGGTTCCTTTATCTGATGTTGATCATATTTTCAGGTACCTATATAGTTCCATCAGAATGTTGGAAGAAATGTCTATTTAGGTATTTTGCCCATTTTTTCCCATTGGAATATTTGTTTCTTGTTGAGTTCTTTATACATGTCGGAAATTAACCCCTGATCTGACATGTGTGAATACCTTCCCCTGAGTCTTTGTAGGTTGCCCTTTTGTTTTGGGGTTTTTTTTTTTTTTTAATTTTTTTTTTAAAGATTTATTTATTTGTGCATACAGAGCTGGGGTACAGGACAGAAGCTCAGGGGTGGCGAGAGGCTTCACCAGAGACAGAGTGGGGAGCAGAACAGGCAGATCCACGAAGTACACTGCTGAGGGGAGCAGCGGGCGGGTCAGGAGAGGTCTGCCACGCCATGTGGTCACCTCCGGGGCAGGCGGGGATTGAACTCATGCGGAAGTGGCTCCAGATTCTCAGTGCTGTGCTTTAACCCGCTGCGCCACCAGGGAGGGCCGGGTTTGTTTTTTTTTTTTAAGATTTATTTATTTATTAATACAGAACTGGGGTACAGGCCAGAGGTGCAGGAGCGGTGAAAGAATTTACCAGAGACAGAGTGGGGAGCAAAACAGGCCGACTGACAAAGTACACAGCTGCTGAGGGGAGCAGCTGGTGGACCAGGAGAGGTCTGCCATGTGGATCACCTCCAGAGCAGGGATCAAACTCATGCTAAAGTGGCTTTAGTTTCTTAGTGCTGCGTTTTAACTCTCTGTGCCACCAGGGAGGGCCACCCTTTTGTTTTAGTTTTAATGGAAGTTTATATCATGGTATAAAAGCTTTTTAGTTTGACATAGTGCCCTTTGTTTATTTTATTTTTATTTCCCTTGCCATTTAATTATATACTCAAATATATTTCTGTGGTTAATGTTCAGGAGTGTATCACCTTTGTTTGCTTTTATCTATTTTATAGTTGTACATCCTACATCTGAATTGCTAATCCTTTTTAATTAATTTTTGTGTGTTGAGTTAAATAATAATCTCATTTCTTTTGTTTGTGACTGTCCAAGCTTCCCAACACCTTTTGTTAAATAGGCTTTCCTTTCTCCACTATGGTCTTGGCTCCTTTGTCAAAGATCAATTGTCTTATTGGTGTGAATTTATTTCTAGGCTATCTGTTCTTTATTTCTGTTTTCCTTTTGTTCCAGTATCATGCTGCTTTTGCTCTCACTGTGTAGTATAATTTACAGTCAGGGAGTGTGATATACCGCCGCCTTCTTCTTTTTTTATCTTAGCATTGCTTTGGCTATTTGGGTCTTTTGTGGTTCCATGAAATTTTTATAATTTCCTTGAAAAATGTCGTTGTGATTTTGGTAGATGTTGCATTAAACTGAATCTTGTTAAATGCTTTTCTTCAAAAGCATCTACTGAGATGATCATATGCTGTTAGTTTTAATTTTTGATGTGACGAATGGCATTGATAGATTTGAGAGATAAACCATACTTGTATCTCTCAACCAAATCCCATTTGGTCATGAATGATTCTTTTACTATTTTACTATATTACTGGGTTCAGTTTTCCAAGATTGTACAGAGAAATTTTACATCTATGTTCGTCTGAGATAACTGTTGATAGTTTTCTTTTTTTGAGCTGTTATTTGTTTTTGAGATCAAGGTAATCTTGGCCTCATAAAATGTGTCTGGGAGCTTTCTCTTCTTTTTTTTTTTTTTTTTTTTTTAGTTTGGGAAAGACAGGTAATAGATATTCATTAAAAGTGGTAGAGTTAACTAGTGAAGCCATTTGGTCTTGGGCTTTTGTCTCAGGAAGACTTATAATTACTCTGTAGATTTTTGTGCTTATGATTGTTTTGTTCAAACCATGTATTTAATCTTGGCTTACTCTTAGTTGTATGATTCTAGAAATTTGTTGCTTTTTCCAAGATTGTCCAATTCTTTGTACACTGTTATGATCCCTTATATATCTGTAGTATCTTTTGTAATTTTACCTCTTTTATTTTCTGCTGTTTTTCTTGAGGTGTGGAATCGTTAACCCTTCACTAACATAGTAAGCACTTGAATTATATATAGTGACAAAGGGATGCAAAAAAACTATGAATCTGGTCATTAAAACGTAAATTTTACAGAGGTGAGTAGCTCCTTAGAAATGGTAAAGGAAAATGAAAGTAAAGATCATTAGATGACTAACCAGTCATCTTCCTAAAATAGACAAAGTCAGAGGTTGTCAAAAGTGCTCATTATATCTGAATCTTTGGGAGTATATTATAAGCATGTCTGGTACATGTGGCTAGGAAAAAGGTTGAGAATTTTGGTCATTACAGTCACAATCTGTATTTGTAAGCCAGACCATATTCATGGAACCCAGGTTTGAAAAATGTTTGTTTTATTAGGTGAAGCAAACCTACATTTTAATTATTTTGCTTTTGTTTATAGGTCCAAGGACAAGTTCATCCTACTCTTGAGTCTAGTGATGATGCTCTTCAGTATGTTGAAGAATTAATTTTGCAATTATTAAATATGTTATGCCAAGCTCAGCCCCGGAGTGTTGCAGATGTAGAGGTATGATAAATCTTGCCTTTATTAACCTTATGTAGTATGTGTGCTTATTGAAATGTTGGTTAAGGGGGGAAAGAATTTACTCTTTAGTTCATATATATGTATATGGTATTTTAAAAAATGAAGGCTTGTTTTATTTTAATTTTCTATTGGTATCTGGTAGCTTGTGTGGCTTTTATCTGTGAAACTACTCTATATTTTGGTTTTAATCTAAAATTAACTTTTATTGCATTTAACTCTACCCACTACTCTTTGATGCTGGAATTACACACATATACATTCTCATACCTTTAAGCCATAAAATATGCCCAGCTGTTTGTTTTTTAAAGCCAGATATTGTTTCAAAAACATCCCAGGTAATCTTTTTGATTTTCAATTATTGATGTATTTTAGATAGTAAATGAAGTTTTCTCACTAATTGGAAGAGAAGGAAACATCTAAATTTTAAGAAGGGAGTTCTGTAATCTGCTAGAAAGATGATATAGCCTCTGTCTTTTCAGGGCTTGTAGTTTAGTGAAGAGACAGGTACATGAGCAATAACATAATGTGATGTACTATGAGTACAGATTACATGGGAAACCATATGAGGGGTAAAGTAACATAGGCTTGGGGTTTAGGGTTAGCTTCTCAGAAGAAGTAACATCTAAATTTTCATTCGGAAGGAATAAAAAATTTGAGAAGAGTGGAAAGTTTGTGAACAAAAATCTGCTGTGCTTATATAAGCAAACTCATTGGCCACCAGGAGGGCCTTTATTCATAATTTCTATAAACTCTTTTGGGCTTCATAGAATAGATTTTAAATAGAACTAGTAGCCTGATTTCTCTTCATTAACAACTCCAGTTACCCTTTTGTATCCTATTCAGGTTCACCTGCAGTGTTTATAGAGAACTTTACGCTGTCTATGCCCTATCTATATTATTAGAATGGGGTTACATTATCTTTTCTTGCTTACATCTTAATGTTAGTACATTCTAAACATTGACTAGGTTGATACCATCACAAATTCAAAATTCAGTTATTTCTAGATTTGTTGTATTATATATCTGTGTTTATCTGATTTCTTTTTAATTACCAGAAGAACTATTAATAGATTTCCTATATTGAAGGAGATATCCATGAACTCTTAAAAATTATCAGTCTCTTATTCTTCCTTGCACAGACTAATGAGTATGGAGAAACTCAAGACTCAAATAATAAAAGATGTTCTCAGTTTTTCAATACTCCTTGGAAAGAGAACTTAAGCACTATCAGAGCTAGTTACTCTCTGCCCTCTCTTGATATTTTTAAGCATCTAATCTGGGCCCTTAAACAAAATATAGCCATGTGATTTTCAGTGAGTCGACTTTGGGGTTGGGAATCAGCTTTTGGAAATAGAATATGTGACAGTAATAGAAATAGCAATGTTATATTAATAGACTTTTTAATTTCAGAGTACTGTTATATTCATATTTATTACCTTACAACAGCCTTGTGGAGTTATTATTTTACTTATTTTATTTCTAAATAAAGTACTATAAATATTCTGCTAACATTTATAAATATTAGAATGGTAGAATAGATAGAACAGAATGAAACCTGAGTCTTTTCAAATCAGTAATCAAATGCTTATTCCTATATGATTCCTGGAAGGGTATTTAGATGATAATGTGGAGATGAATATAATGTTGTAATAGAATTTTTTATCAGGGTATAATTCTCTATTTTATTCATCTACTAGAATTCTTTATTTCCTTGATACATCTTATTTATAAATTTCATTAATTCCTTCAACACACATATGGAGCTTTCTTTTAAATAACAAGGGTTGTGAATTTAATAAGGTCTTCAGGGTCACTTGAGGTAAGTGATACTTCATCAAAATTAAAAAAAAAATGTTTTGAGGCCCAATAAAGTATACTTAAAAAGTAGATTAGGGCCCTCCCTGGTGGCGCAGCGGGTTAAAGCACAGCACTGAGAATCTAAAGCCGCTTCCTCATGAGTTCGATTCCCGCCTGCCCCGGAGGTGACCACATGGCGTGACAGACCTCTCCTGACCCGCCCGCTGCTCCCCTCAGCAGTGTATTTCGTTGATCTGCCTGTTCTGCACTCCACTCTGTCTCTGGTGAATTCTCTCACCCTCCACATCTCTGGCCTGTATCCCAGTTCTGTATGCACAAATAAAATAAAATCTTTAAAAAAAAAAAAAAAAAAAGTAGATTAGTTTCAATCATAACTTTTTACTCTTTCTCAAAAATACATTTTCATTATTTCAAAGAAGAAGCATAATCAAGGTTTGATGACAATTTTTGATTAATATTTGGCCTCTAGGAAATTCTTTTTTTTTTTCTTGAAGATTAATTTATTTATGCATACAGAACGGGGGTACAGGCCAGAGGTGTAGGGAAAGGATTCACCAGAGACAGAATGAAGAGCAGGACAGGCAGATTGATAAAGTACATTGCTGAGGAGAGCCATGGGGGGTCATGAGAGGTCTGCTGTGCCTTGTGGGTCTCCTCCCTGGCCAGGATCAAACTCATGATGCAGTGGCTGCGGAAGAGCTTCATAGTGCTGCACTTCAACCGGTTGTGCTACCAGGGAGGTTCCGGAAATTCATTTTAATGAGAAACTATGAGTAAATTTAAGTTGTCATGTAGTTTTAGGAAAATATGTATTTCAGAAGTACTTAAAAACTGATAAATTACATACATAACTCTAATCTTGTGAATGCTAATTTTTAAGTTTAACAAATTGTATACAGTTCATCACACTATCACAGTTCAAATAATAAGGTTTTGTCTTATTGATATAGCTAATATTTACTAGTCTCTGCCACCATTATGATTATCTACTATTTGTTAAGCATTTTCCAAATGGATAAAGAAATTAGTTGATTAGTTAATGTTCTGGGAATGCAGAGGAATGGAATATATTATTTGCCTCCACCTTTTCAGAATAATTTAAATTTTAAGGATAGTATAGTATATAAAAATAACTCCATATCCTAACTGGGAAGCTACATGTCAAAAATGAAACTAGATCAGTACCTCACACCATGCACAAAAATCAACTCGAAGTTGATTAAAGACCTAGACATAAGAACAGAACCGATAAAACACCTGGAAGCAAATAAGAGCAAAACTCTACATGACATACGTCTTTGAAGACTTAGAACCCAATGTAACAACGATAGAGAAGGAAATGATAAATAGATGGGACTACATCAAGTTAAAGAGCTCCTGTACAGCAAAAGAGACATTACAAAAAAGCAAACAGACATCCCACTGATTGGGAAAAAATTTTCTTACACAAAACTAGCGATAAAAGGACTGATCACAAAGATATACAAAGAACTGATGAAACTCAACAAAATAAACAACCCCATCAAAAACTGGGCAGAAGAGCTAAAAAGACATTTCTCCAAAGAAGAAATACAGATGGCCAACAAGCATATGAAAAAATGTTCAACATCACTCGTAATAAGGGAGATGCAAATTAAAATCACAATGAGATACCACCTCACACCAGTGAAAATGGCACATCTTAAAAAAACTAGCAACAACAAATGTTGGTGAGGATGTGGAGAAAAAGGAACTGTCCGCACTGCTGGTGGGAATGCAAACAAGTACAACCACTGTGGAAAACTGCTTAGAGGTTTCTCAAACTGCTAAACATGGAACTTCCATATGACTCAGCAGTCTGACTCCTAGGTATCTACCCAAAAGACACAACAACACTGATTCAGAAAAACACCTAGGCCCCCATGTTTATTGCTGCTTTATTTACAATTGGAAAAACATGGAAGCAGCCCAAATGCCCAAAAGTAGATGACTGTATTAAAAAGATGTGGTAC